AATCTTTTACTATCCTACAATAAAATGTTAACTCCGTGAAGGCTAAGTTTAGACAATATGCTTAAAATATTCACGGAATCGATTTATTGTGATAGTGACTGTCTTATGGATAGTTTTTCGATTCCCACAGTTTGCCGATGAGATGAATGAGCAATTGAACTCTGAACATTTGAACTTTTGATCGAACCGTTGTTTCGTTTTTGTACCGAATGTACTAAGTATGTAACAATTTTTATGAATAAGATGGTAATGTGGGAGTTTTTTCGACGATTCTTAAGTCTTGAAATTGTTTCAAATAGTTAATTGTACCGAATTTATCGATGAAATAATCGTAATGATTCTCAGTATTTGACGAAGTGGAAATTTTTTCTATTAAAAGAAAACATTTTGAAGTTCGTTAATTGCGCACTGCAACAGAAAATGTTTGCTTGCTTTATAAAGTAGTTTGCGTGCTTAATTGAAATCCCCATTCATTCGATTCCAGCCATCTTTGCATTCATTTGATGACAATATTTCACATTTCACAGCGTTTTACAACTGTGATCATATTGGCGACTCGGCGCCTTTCTTGTTTACATAGACAAGACTAGACTAGAGAAGAAAGTGTCTATTTATCAAGCAGTGGAACTGCCATTTTTATCGCTGGTTCCATTCGTTTCTTTAAGCTCTTAACGATCGTAGAGTAGCCAAATTATGAACTGTAACAGAGATGAACTTGAGAAATGTTTTACGAATATTCTAACAACAATTCCAATCTGAACGCATTTCCCACCGTTCTGCTGAGAGAATGTGGAATGGTTTCGGAAAAAACAGAAGTTTTTGGTATTGCCAGACGTTACTGTCAGCTCTTTCGATTATCAATAAGAACTGAGACACAAGACGAGATGCTTGGAATTCTCAAGAAGGAAAAAAGATAAGAAGCATTAATGAACGTTTCAAGATAAGAAAAATAAGCGGGAGCAAGTTCGAGTTAAAACGCACTGAAACTCCAAATTGTCAGCGAACAGTACACTGAGGTTTTCTTTGGATTGTTTGGTCTTGGTATGATGATAAACAAGTATAAATGCAACAAGACACTTCCTTTTACTCTGCTATTCCAAAGCGATTATCAACGAACGGACTTCACATTCATCACAGTCCTCAATCAACAAGTTTTATTGTCAAAAGTACAATTGATCAGAAATCTTTGAAGTAAATAAGCCATTGATCTTGACACTTCTTTACGGATACCGCTCCCCACATGAAAAGTTCGTTTTCTTCCATAGGTTCATAATCAATCCCACAAAATTGTCCTGTTTTCAAGGACACCCTTCAGCAACATTCTTTGCGGCAAGAAAAAGACAAAAAACATCAGCAATACGAGAGATGATGTTTAAATATATTTGTCCTCCTCGTCTGTTCTGTCCGTGCAAAGTCTCACTGAACCGAGCGAATCGCACAATTCATCATTCGATTAACAATTTCATTCCTTCACAAATTTCAACCTTGTTTACTCTCATTGTCATCATCGATGTTGATTGATAGAATAATGCCATGTTTTGTTCACATTCGTTTTGGAATTATTATTTTATTTTCAATGGCAATGGAAAAACGGAAACAAAATTTCAATTTGATGTTGTGATTTGAGTTGAAGAAGAATTCATTCAAGTGTTATTGTTATCATTATTATTCAATTATATTCTTTTATATTTTCATTCCTAAATCCATATGTTTATACTGAATATTTATCTTCTGAATTCTTGAAGATAAAAGTACTCAAATTGTGCTGTTGTCACTGACTGCTACTGCTGCAATTCTGATCGAATTTTTAGATAATTCTCTATCATTATTCTAGTATTGCTCTATTTTTAGTGTATCTCGCAATTATAAGTAATTTTGCCTTTTCATCGTTCAGTCAGTTATTTTTTTCCGCTAGCTATAACACAAGGCACTAATTTAACAACAAAAGTACAACGATAACAACACAACCACGAACAATTCAGTTGTTTGTTCATTATTAACACTGTTCTTATTCTATAAAAATACGAAAGTCTCTAGATGAAAGTGCTGTTCGTCTTATTCCATTAAAACCAATCATAAGAAATCACATGTTCACGTTTTTTGCTCCAAATTCCATTCTTCTCAACGCATTGATTACCGCTCTTGCTTGATCATTCAAAATCACTGTCGCACAACACGAAAACTCTGATGATCCCCAGTCGAACGAATCACTTTATTGTTACTCAAATTTTACCGTAAATTTTTTATTAAAACGGATGTTGATGAACGTCCCATTTAAAGTGAACTCTTTTGAACAACTCAAATCATCATTGGTTTGTTCTGGACAAGTGGCTGATCTGTGCTAAGAATGCGCCCTCAGATCTTTCACAAGATTCGATCGTTTTTGTAACAATCCACATTTTATTAAAATCTAGTAATAAGCATCATTTGACAACAAACAAAACACGGCTTATGGAGTCTGTCAAATTATTTGGATATGGAGTTAATATCATCTTCATTTTATCATTTATTAATCGCTCATAGTTATTATTGTTTATAATATCATTATTTACACTGATCGTCACATANGGATGATCTGAAGTGGTTTTCGAAGTGTTGCATCGAAAAAATGTGCACTTTAACAGTTAGAAGTGATGGTTGCTTTTATGATTTTGATTGCTGGTAAGGCAGAAATTTTGTCGTTGATATTCCGAGAAAATATGGGATGAGGTTAATTGATTGTGTGTTGAGTGGAAGAACTATTGCGATGTCTTGAAAGAAAAACTATTGAACTGGAAACGTAAAGTTCAATAATATGACTTATGCCGTTTAAATGTATGCCAATTGACTCCATCTCAAAAAAAGTTGATTGAAATCAATCGTTCACCGTTATGTGACGATTTACAATAGAAACATAACAGCCATCGACTGTCTCTGAAGTACATAGCAATAATAAATATAATCACGTTTATCCTTTATCCCTTCCGTTCGTTATCTCTTAACGATCTCTCTCATCGAATTGCTCACTCAAATAACTCACAGCCTCAGTAGTTGCTATTCGAAAGTGCCCTAACTAAATTCGGATATCCTGGAAGTAACATTTTATCTCGTCAGAGAGATAAGATGCGTCTTCAAAATATTCACCTACTTCATTCGTGTTCTTAATTCTTACTGTCCATCTTCAGTTTACTTCATCAATAATTAATTTTTCGTCAAGAAACAGTGAGCAACGTACAATGATAATGTGGGTTGATGATTAGACAAAATCAAATCAACGTCGAAAATAACAAAAACTCATCAATACCGTACCCACAATCAGCTAACTCGATGATGATTCAAACAATCGCTCGCCCATTCACCTAACAGAGCTGAATCGATCGTTTTTGTGCTTCTGCATTATTTCTATCTAAAAACTACCGTAACTGCTTTTCCTTTAAAAAACTAATTGTTCTCTTAAACAACAATTATTACCACATGCAGTAATGATTACGTCAGAGATTATTGAGGGCGTCTCAAGTTCATAGCATGAATCTTGACATGATGGAATATTAAGCGAGAAATTGTGGGTTGGTTGGTTGTTAATCGTTTATTCGTTGGATATGATGTGAAAGGCGGGAAACGTGAAGGGCGATTTGGTGTCAGCATATCTTTATCGATATCCGAAGCTGCATTAAACTAGTCAAGGAAAGATTCGTGGAGGGACACTTCGTGAGACGTCCACTGAATAGAGGAACAGATAGGTAGAGAGTGGGATCGAGAGTGCGGATTTGATTGAGTGCCAAATCCGTTTCAGCGGTGCTTGGCGTGATGCCATCGGATCAACACACCTATCTATCAGTCTCTCGTCGATTTTTCATTTGTTAATGTGTCAGCGAATGTACATATTTATTATGTTCGTTCGTGTGGCAATATTTCGTCACCATTCTCAGTATCATTTATTATCGATCACAATATCGCACTTACCGTATCCCAACGATAAGGATTATCAACAAAAAGTACCTCTCAGATTGCTAAATATTCAGTGAACTGATACGAACTTAGATATATGCAGCAGAAAACGCATTTTTGAGCACGATTCCAACGAGAGCTATGAGCTTTTAACATGCAAGTAGTCAATGAAGGTGTTTGATGTCTGACAATTTTCAGTCCACTTTCATCTGCAATTTATCGATAAATGTTGCGTCAAGCAACCTTATTGCAATCTTAAAATAAGATTTTACGAGTGAACCTCAATGGGAATAATTATTCATTGGTTCTCGTTTCTGAAGAAAAAATCAGTTAAAAAAATTTGGCGACTGCCAGAGAAAGATTCATGTTC